GGAGTTCTACCCTAAGTGCAATCCTAAGAAAGGTAAAAATCCCCCTTCTTGCTAATTACTGATATGTCGTTGATATGGGCCGAGATCTACGCCGTGATATCTGGTTGGGCGCGTATATCACAGTCCTTTGATAACCGTGTGCGGTCGTCTGACATTGCTTCCCAAGGTCTAGGAGTACGGACCGGGTCCCGGGGACATGATCTCGATGGCTTCGAGGGTAGGTGTTGTGTTCGGACCTTGATAGTGAAGGCTCCCTTCTTCGACTTCGATTCCTTTTAGTTATGCCTTTGCCTCTTCGCCCCACCGGGAAATTAGGGTGTTCATTACCCCCGTTTTTACCCATATACATTCATCAAACAATACAGTAAATACGGTACAACACAATACAATATGATACATTATAAAACGACATGTAATAACAATCCAAACAAGTTGTATATCTTGTAGGAAAAGAAAAACTTGAAAACATATTTGGATTATATAGTGTGTATGAAATAGACAATTAGCTAAAATGGGAAGTATTCCAATTACAGAATCAAAGAAAGTGTGGAGAATTTTTTAAAAAATTACATGAAATAACTTTTAGAGATTCTCAAATATATGAGATCTCAATCATCCGAAAGTGAATAGTGAAAGTGAATAGTGTCAAAAGAAATAAAGCAAGAAAGCTGTTTAGTACCTTTACAATCTAAACAGAAACAAACAATACCTTACACTTTATCGTATTTTTTTATTTTTTTGGAAAAAACGCTAATTTGCAATTTAAGGAAAAGGCCGTTTTTCATTTTCTCCAAAATTGTCTTAATTTTTAAGAGATTTATTTTCTAAATTTGTTTTTTTTTTTTGCTCTTTATGCTTATTGGCAGTTTATCTTCTATGCCATAAACTATCAAATCCACATAGTTTCTTTAGGTTTAAAAGACCAAAAGATTGTTTAGTGAGCATCGTGCGAATTGACAAAGTAGGTAGTATATGGGACTTTAACCCAGAAATTCTAGAAGATGTCAAAATTCTATTTCTATGAAATGCATTAATTACCTGCAAATTATAGAATATTTTCTCTTTTCGTTTTCTTGAGTATAACGTCTTTCGGAAACATCCTCTTTACTCTCTAGGATAGGGGTAAGATCTACACACTCTACCCTCACATACCCCACTTGTAAGAACTCACTGGGTTGTTGTTGTACCTGCAAATTGCCAAATTTTCTCCTAGCTCATAATTTCTAAACTACTTGAAGCACCATTAGTTCATCACAATGATGCTCATAACTTTTAGTCAGCACTATAGCTAATGCTTTTAGAAAGAACCCTTTTAATTATAAAGTTGACTAATATATTAGTATTACTACTAATTAAGATGATGAACCCTGTAGAGGCAATTTTCATTACAGGCTTGAGATGAGAGACCTCTATTTAGGCATGGATTCATATACATTGACAATTTAAAGAATTTATACACTATTATACTTTTTAGGTTATCAAGTTTGGAGTTATGTAAAAACTTACTTATTATTATAAGTTACCTTATCTTTAATCGTGTAAAAATTTGTGAATTGTCAGTTCATAAAAGTTAAACTCGTCATTGATTTGCTACACCATGCTACCAATAAAGGAGCAAAACGACAAAAGTTTAGACTGTTATCAGTCTCTTTATGACTACACACTTCAGCAACACACCATATATTTATGACCATTTCTTATTGTATAAACAAAGCCTAACACAGAAGTTAATGTCTTTTTTTTCATAACGTCCCATTGACTAATGACACAAAACGTCAATAAAGTTGTTAAAGCTCATCAATTAGATACAGTCTTTATTATGCAAGTGTAACGCCATAGATTTTCTGTTTCCCTTCTTTGTTTTATTCTCAACCTCAAACTTAATCTTGTTTTCTTTAATTACTACTTTACTAGTGTTAGATATCCAAAACCTTTTAACATCCAACCGGCCAGCCGGCTGCAAGTTTCCATCTGCATAAGGTAATCAAGAACATATAATATATACAATTTTTTAAATTAAAAAACAGTAACTTTATATTTCCTAATTTGTTCTTTTATCTTGAAACTTGGGCACTTTATGTATTCTCATGTTTTGTTCTGTGAATTTGAAGCCATGAGTTTTAGTAGAGTTGATGATCCTGAACTATTCCTCAAGTTTCATAAACAGTACTTTCCATATATCAGATTCTGATATCATAACTTTAGAAGTTTTAACCTTGTTTTCTCTACCTGAAAGGAAGACAACAGGGCATTTATAATGGAAACACCAAAGTCGAATCATCAACGAAGAGGAAGTATACCTCCTTTTTCGATGTCTCAAACGCTGTGGTCAAATGAAAAGTCATGCAGAGATTCGCGATCAAATGATGAAAAGGGGGTAAATGTGAAAGTTTTATTGCGTTGCAGGTATGAACTAAAACTTGCCATTGCTTATTCTACATGTTCTTACAACTACATGCTTCAATCTCAATCAAGTCGGGGTCATTTATATGAATCTTCATTGTCCATATGTCGCTTCATTTAAAGTGCATTTTGTATTGTGAGGATTCATTATGAGTAACTAGCTTTATGCTAATTGTCGATTTACCACAACCCTCTTGCTTTATCTAGGCTTGAGACCGTCAATATGAGTAAGCTCACACATGTGGAATTCCACATGTTCTTATTTCTTAATACTAAAAAAATTGTATTCAGGTTAGGTATGGATAATCAAGAATCCTATGTTCTTTTACCAGACAAATTTGAACTAAATATTTTGTCTCACATGATCATTCATTGCTGAGAGGTTAGAAGCTAAGTTGCTCGGATATAGGTGCAGGTGTCCGATACGGGTGCAGATCTAGAGGTCGGATCTTTCAAGAAGTAAATTCTAAGATACGGGGATAGGATCAGAGTACGGATATGAATGCGGGGATCCAGCTAAAAATTATTCAAAAACATAAAATTATAAAAATATCTCTAAATTATGAGAAATTTTGTGGACTACTTACGTATAACTTGTAAAGTGTGGATTTCTTTTTAATTCTCAAGTTGTAGAAAAGTAAAGGATTGATTTCCTAAATAAGGTAGGGTATTTTCTTCAAATTTACCTTAATTTTAGTTCTAATTTCGGGAATTAAAATTGTATCTCGTATCAAATTTTTCTGTCTGTTGTGGTCAAAGTACTCAAAATTTTTTGACCAAATCCAGTACAGATTCAATACCCATACCATACTAGTGTCGTGTTGACACGGGTGCGGCACCTAAACTGATGTGTCGGAGCAACTTAGGTTATAAGCATATAACAGCAAAAGCAAGACATATAGGTGGGTCGACTCATCAAGTACCATTGAGCCTTACTAGCAAGTGATGTATTTGTGTTTCAGGCCTCCAAATGAGGATGAAATGAAGGTGAAAGGTCCCTCGGTGATCTCGTGCAACGAGCTGAAAAAAGAAGTTACTGCAACTTTGAACACAGCTACTAAGCAACTAAACAAAACCTCTGTCTTTGATAAGGTTTTCTTCTTATAATGTCTATGCTTAAATCTATTTTCTACCTTATACATCACTATGAAAATGTGTGTAGTTATGTATATTTGAACCCCTTTGATGCCACAATATTTGTTAGGTTTGTGGTCCATCATCTCAGCAAAAGGACTTCTATGATCATTCTGTCGCTCCTCTAGTTAATGAAGCTGTCGAGGGATATACTTGTACTATTTTTGCTTATGGCCAAACCGGAACAGGAAAAACTTACACAATGGAAGGGGAAGCAATTAAAGAGAAGGTTTTCTCTGATTCTCTCTTCTTTTATTTTGTTTTCCCCTTCAAATGTAACTGGTAAAGTTGTTTCCATGTGACCAGGAGGTCACGGGTTTGAGCCGTGGAAATAGCCTCTTGCAGAAATGCAGGGTAAGACTGCATACAAGAAACCCTTGTGGTCCGGCCCTTCTCCAGACCCCGCGCATAGCGGGAGCTTTGTACACCGGGCTAACTCCCTCGAATGTAACTGTCATTTTGTTGGCTTATCGTTTTTTATATCCTTTTCAATGTTAATGCTTGTAGAATGGGGAGTTTCACAAGAATGCTGGAGTAATCCCAAGAGCAGTCCAACAAATTTTTGACATTTTGGAGTGCCAAAAGGCAGAGTACACTATGAAAGTTGCATATATAGAGATTTACAATGAGGAAATAACAGATCTTCTTTCGCTGGATGAGGAATCAAAATCGATAGAAGAGAAGCCGAGAAAGCCATTAGCCCTTATGGAAGATGGAAAAGGTGCAGTTTTCATAAGAGGCCTAGAAGAGGTGGCAGTGTCAACGGCAGATGAAATATACAAAATTTTGGAGAAAGGCTCTGCTAATAAGCATACAGCTGAGACGCTTCTTAATAAACAAAGCAATAGGTCTCATTCAATATTTTCCATCACCTTACAAGTTAAGGAATGCACGCCTGAGGGACTAGAACTGATAAAGTGTGGAAAACTAAATCTTGTTGACCTAGCAGGATCTGAGAACATTTTACGCTCGGGAGCGAAAGAGGTACAACACTAATGGAGCTTCTCCCGTCAATAATCTCCTCAGAATTATTAAAAATAGTTATTTTACTTATTTCACTTATGAGTTTAACTTCTATAGGCTAAAAAGGGGATCCTAGTGCACGAAGCATCCCGCGTTCACGTAGGGTCCAGGGAAGGGCCGCACATGTAGGCAGCCTACCCTAATGCAAACATCATTGGCTGATTCCACAGCTGGAACCAGTGACCTAAAAGTCTCCGAGACAACCTTAACTTCTATAGACTGACAGTGTAAAAGAAATACACTACCAGGTCACCTGTAACTACAAGTAACTGCCCATTACAAGTGGAACAAGTTACATAAATAATAAAGCAGACAACCAACTATAATAAGTTAAATTACACTGGAAGTGTAAAAATTCTTAATACAACGTATTTAAGTAAAATTATTCGTTTTATTACAGTGATAATTGAGGGTTGTAATGGAATTTACTTCTCTAAAATCCAGGGAAGAGCAAGAGAGGCTGGTGAGATAAATAAGAGCTTGCTTACTTTGGGCAGAGTCATCAATGCTTTGGTTGATCATTCTGGACATGTTCCATACAGGTATAAAACTAGTTTAATCATTATATAAACATTCCAATAGATGTTTTAATACAGAAGCAACTGTTGAAAAATGAGTGTTTGGATATCAGAGATAGCAAATTGACAAGGTTACTGAGGGATTCATTAGGAGGAAAAACAAAGACATGCATAATTGCCACAGTTTCACCATCCATTCAGTGCTTGGAAGAGACTCTCAGTACTCTTGAATATGCTAATCGTGCCAAGCAAATTAAAAACAGGCCAGAGGTTGTTCATTTTATTCTTTAAAAATTTGCTTTCGAACAATTTTATCCACCACAAATTTCATCCTCAAGTACTATTTCCAGGTCAATCGGAAGGTGACCAAATCTGCACTAATCACAGATCTGTATGTGGAGATGGACCGCCTAAAGCAAGGTTATAATGAGATCTATACTTTGAGAATTAATTAATTTATATGGTGTTATAACAGTAGACATTCTTCTTTGCTCTGTAGAATTACACGCAACGAGGGAGAAGAATGGAATCTACATACCACAAGACCGCTACTTGAGTGAAGAGGCAGCTCACAAGGTGCTTTTCCCATCAATATTTCTGGAGTGCAACTCTTGATCTGTAAAATAGGAACAAAGTTAATTGCTAAAATGCTTTTCTTTTTCCCCTTTTAGGCAATAGTTGAGAGACTGAAGTTCACAGAACTTGATTTAGAGTCCAAAAACAAGGTAAGTATCACCTGGTCTGTCGTGTAGGCAGCTTATGCAAGTCCTAATTTATTCCAAGATCATTGAGAAGTCACAGTTTCTGAGCAGAAACTGAGAGAGCTTCAGGATCTTTATGATTATCAGCGACAACTGACAGCAAATTTAACCGAAGAACTTGAGAGAACTCAGGTGGAATGTTACTTGAACAAGTTACTTCCCAAGTCTCTTTTTTTAAATTAAGATAGCTAGAAAGTTGAAGATAACTAAACTTTCCAGCCTCTGTTTTATGGCAGAGAGAACTCAAGGAAGCTGAACAAGCTTTCAATGATCTAGAAGCTCAAAATAGTCGAGCGAAAGAGACGGTTCAAGAGAAGGATCATCTGGTATTTGATCTCATTAAATCTGGTGAGTTAAACTCTGAAGTGTGTCCCAAGCATCTCATTGAAATACAAAGATGAATCAAAGTATTCGTGAATCCTGCACCATGTAGGACTACTGATATGTCCATTAATAGCAAATTGGCATCTTAAAGTTCATTCTTGAAAGTACTGAAATCTGCAAATGTTACCTCTCGTCATTTAGAAAAGGCAATGACTGATAAAGCACTTGAGCTTCAAGCTGAAGTAGAGAATGCAGAATCAGAGATATCCACCTTGTTCGCCAAAATTGGTTCGTCTTACTATTTCTTATGTTCTTTATCTGGCTAGCATCAGTTTCTTCTTCTAACTTATGTTTCTTATAAAATAGAGAAAAGCAACAATAGGGAGGAGAGAAACAAAATTCTCGTGCAAAATTTCCGCAACAGATTAACTCAGCAGCTTGAAAGTTTAAAGAGAAACACTGCAGTTTCTGTAACCAAACAAGAGCAGCAATTGAATGTAATATTAGAAGATACCCAATCCTTCTTAGCTACTAAAAGGAGGGTACAGTAAAAAATCTTTGACATATGGTACTTTCATTATATGCAACCTGCAAACAGTACCAATCTTTCTTGAATTTAACGGCAGGCTACAGATGAGTTAAAGACTCAGCTCCAGAAGCTGAAAGACAAGTATAGCTCTGATATTCAGAATTTAGCTGTTTCGGCCCAAGAACTTAATGAAAATTCTCAGCTAGCTTTTAGCGAAGTCAATTCAGAAGTATCAAAGCATTCTTCTTCCTTTATGGATGTAAGTAAAGATCCTTCCTTCAGTCGGTGTTACTTAATTTACACCCTTTCATCACTCAATTTTTCCTGATTCCTAGTGCAGCTTTTTGCAAAGATTTCTGCCGATGTTAATTCTATACTCAACGGCCTGCAAGGTAACATAAGGGAACTTGAGGTGAAGATAAATGCTTTTGTGCAAAAGGAACAACAGGTATATAAGCATGCTACTAGATATTTTTATTTTTTTTATATAGTTGCTTTTGTGCTAACTTTGTTTATCTTTTCTCCATCTGTCAGAATCAAACAAGAAGATATCAAGGAATTCAATTAACCTCTGAAGTTCTCCTCAACTTTTTCAAGACTTTAAATTCATACATCTCAAAATTGAGACTAATGGATGAAAAATCGCAAACAATTAATCATCAGCAACTCTGCACCCTTGAAGAGAAGTTTGAGGTATTTTTTTGCTGTTTACCTTAGAAATGAAGAGATCGATCCTCGTCTCTTTTCACCCTTTGAATTAATTCTTTTAGGAGTTGGCTGCAAGTGAAGAACGACAACTGATAGAAAAAGTTGCAGAGCTTATGTCAGCTTCTAATACTAGGAAGAAAAAGCTGGTATGTGCTTCTTCATAACATCCTTCTACATCACAGCTTGAGAATGCTGTTCCATAAAGATTTATAATGTGAATGGAACTTAATACTAGTATCAAAGCCTTTTCATGGATTTTCTTATTCCTAAAAGCATTGAATTTCAGGTAGAATATTATCAAACACTTCCATTTTTCCTTTTCTTTAGGTTCAAACAGCAGTAAATGGCCTTAGAGAGTGCTCTAGTATCAAAACCAGAAATCTAAATGCTGAGTTCTCAAACATACAAGGTTGCACTAATTCTGCCTATGAAGAATGGACAAGCTATGTTGAAAGCACACAAGCCCAACATATCGAGGATTCAACTAGATTGGAATTTTGGAAAAGTAGCCTAGCAGGGCACATCGAATGCTGGTTGAGTTTGTTTATGATGATATACATTTATAAGAATTATATTTTGCTTTTGGATTGTATACCTTGAGAAAGCTATTAAATTTTTCATCTTAAATTTCAGCTTGGCAAAATCAAAGGGGGTCGAAGATGGATGGAGAAATGCCCAAGAATCCCTTCTTAGACGACAAACAAGAAATGTCAACTCAATTGATTGCATTATGAAGTAAGTTATCATTTTATGAATCAATTACTATCTTATCGAAGAACCTTATTTCGTTTTACCATTTTTACCTTCATATCTTCAGGAGTGCAATGGAATCAAATGGAAAGACCAGCACTCAGTTTTCCTCCACAGTGACTTCTATACTAGAAGAAACAGCTATTTCCAAGAGGAACCTTCTTTCAGCCATGGAAAGTATGTTGCCTGTGAATTTTTTCTTCCTATGATGCTGCAAGAGAACATTCTCTAGTTTTATTACCACAGAATCATGCAGTTGAAACTGATGCAGGTTTGCTGAAACTTGATCATAATGAATGTGAGAAGATTTATTCAGTTATATATCCTTGTGTTGAGGATATGAAACAAATGAAAGACAGTCATTCCTCCAAAGTATCCGAGATTGCAGAAAATGCAGGAAAAGCATTGACAGATGAGTACAAGGTAAAAGCTCAGAAAACCATCCAAGTGTAAATGATTTTTGCCATTAACAGTTTAATACTCAGTCAACTTACACATTATCACTAGTAGAATATATAATTTCAGATAGTTAAAAATTTCTCTTCGTCATTTAGAGAAAAATTTCCGTTAAAAAGTTCTAGCGCCACTCTTGTATTGAGGGCTGCTGGAATAGGCAAGAATACCATTTCGATGGAAAATATCATTTGGGAATTTCCATCGAGATACCTGAACATGACATTGGTCATCTATTAAAAAGATTTTAGGTTTCTTAAATCTTAAGTATTATTTTACCATTCTTCACATCCTATCTTCAACCAAGGCCTTTCTGCTTCCTATGAAATTTTATAGACATGAGTGTTATACTAACAATATATTCTTTTGTTCTCAATAATCAGGTTGATGAACCATCATGCTCAACTCTGAGGAGGAAAAGAGTTAGCGTTCCAAGCAGGGAATCTATCAAAAATCTCAGAACTCCTTTACTCGAGGAGTCACTCAAGTCGTTTCAAGGCAATGGAATAGCAAAGCGAGCTAACAGAATGTAAATCCAACTAGAGGGGCATGAGGATGTTGAGTTGAACTAATAATGTTCTTTTGAAGTAGGATAACCAATTTAGAGATTGATCAATTGATGTTTATATCTGTTGATGTGTAGTGTTTTAGTAAAAGATAAAAAAGCATGTCATCTTGTGAATTTGGAGCCTCAGAAGATCAATGTTTCTTTATTTTGAAGTGTTATAGTCATATTAGAATACTTTGATTAGAAACTTCACATAATATGCACCACAAAATTACAATATGTAAGTATCCATTCCATTATAGTTGAAATACTTTGGCACCCAAGGGTGTGGCCTAGTGGTCAATGAAGTGGGTTAGAACCATGAGGTCCCAAGTTCAACTCCCAACAGAGACAAGCCTTGGTGGATAGAGTTACCTGATACTTGTTTGCTAGTGGGAGGCAGCAGGTGTCCCGTGTAATTAGTTGAGGTGCGCGTAAGTTAGTCCGGACACAACGGTTATCAAAAAAAAAAAAATAGTTGAAATACTTTGAGGTAAACAAGGGTCCTGGAAATCTAGAACTGATGTATTACATCTATAATAACATCCTTACACAGGTTGATGAGCCGTTTCCACCAGAAACAAAGAACATGTTGGGCAAAAACTCACAAGTCATATATGTGCACATGCATTAACCCAGATAGCCACCTGAGGTCGTTTCAGTCTAAGGCCAAAGCTTCGAAGCAGTTTGAGCAACTAGTTATAATATCCTTCTGTTTGCAATGAATTTTCTGAAGTTAGTCCGCAGTGCCCTCGTCCTACTCTTTATGGACCATGTGATGTCATATTGGAAATCTGTTTCTTATGGATGACCACGAAAATAGGCCCAAGACGCAATTTCTTCTAAAATTTACGCATTAACCACTTTCTTAGAGCAAATAGTCCAAAGCTTCACTTACAATTTAGTGAACCTCCAAACCACAACAACTAACTACGAGTCTAGCCAAAGAGAAGACATCAGCTTTGATTCCTACACCTCCAGGCAACATAGGTGCTGCATCTCTTAACAAACAGTAATGAGTTGTTCATTTGTGCTTGAGAATACGATGAGTATGGCCTTCCCTTGATGCCTTTCTGGTATACCTATATAGAGGAGCAATCACAGATTTCCAACCATAGGGGGCTGCATATGAGACAGCCCTATCGGGTATCAAGTAATGGTTCTGAGAGTTCGTACAGCTCGTGATTCGTTTAATCTGTTGCTTAAGGTGGTACACTGCATCAATTCCTTAGGTGGTCTAGGAAGACTACAAATATTGGAAGTGTCTCTTGGCCTTTTTTTCAGTCAGTAAGCATAGATTCAACAAATTTCACAAGAGTTTTGCCTGAAAGGATGCCTCAGGAGATGCTTCTTCCTCAACATGGTGACCATTTAGTGAGAAAGGAGTGGACCTACCCATGACTAGCTTTTGCTGTGACCTTCATACAGTGCAAGGCCCTGCTCTTACTAGTGATGTTCTTGATGTGAACACTCTCACAGAACTCTACTGATCAAATCTTGAAGTGACTCCTTGGTTTTCTAAAATACCAAAGTCTCGAGGGAGCGGTAAATAGCTTCCTTAAACAAGGATTCATTCACTCCTTAAAAGCATTAAAGCCATCTTACATTTCCAGAGATCTAAGTTCTAAAGTTTGATTGCAATTCCACTTTTCTCCCTGTTGCTATCTTCATCTCTTTCTCTATTCCAAATTGGCAGCCATCTTCCTTGGTGTCTTCAGTTAATCTGCAATCTGATAATTGAACTACAACTCTATATGAAATAATGGCAACTTGTTCTTTGGAAAACAGCAGACTGCTTTGACCATTTCACAAGAATATTTGCTGCTTCCCTGTTTCTCTAGTCAAGCTTGTCGCAAATTTTTCGTAACTTCACTTTCCAGACCTCCTACTATTTTGAAAACCAACTCAAACACCTGCATAAGTAAAATGTGGTTTTGTAAGGGTGCAACTCCACAATGTGGACATTGCAAGAAGTGTATATCCATTACTCATCTCATCCAAATGTTTTACTCCTAAAACTTAAATATGAAGGGGCAAATAGTCATCATCCAGCATCTGTAGCCACAGTTCATCTAGCATGGAGTATATTCTGTCCCTTTTTGGGTGCATACAGTCCTCAGCCAAGAAGACATGGATCCGGTCCTTGACTTCAATCCAGCTTTGACCTGGAACCTTTTTGACACCTTTTTGTCTCATCAGACCCCTCAGTGATGCAACATCCTTCCAACTTCCAGTAGAAGCAAAAATGTTACAGAGTAACACATGCGCAGCAGAATTCGAGGGATCAATCTCCAAAATTTTCTCTGCGGCTCGTTTGCCCACATCAAGATTGTTACGTGTTTTGCAAGCAGCTAACAAAGTTTTCCACATCACAATATCAGGATCAAGTTCCATTTGATTGATAAAAGCTTCTGCTTCTTCTATGCAGCCAGCACGGGCAAGCATGTCAACCACACAGCAACAATGCTCTCTAGTCGGTACAATACCAAACTCCGTTTCCATGGCTCTGAACAACTGCCACCCTTCTTTGACTCGTCCAACATGACTACAAGCAGTCAAAACACCGACGAAGGTAACTTGGTTTGGCTTGACAGCTAAATATCTCATCTTCTGGAAGAGATCTAGAGCTTCTTCTCCGTATCCAAACTGAGCATACCCCACTATTAAACTGCTCCATGAGACCGCATCAGGGTTCTTCATACTATCGAAGAGCTTCCTAGAGCTTGTCATATTTCCACATTTCACATACATGTCAATTAAAGCATTCATGACGCATATATCTTCACTTAGCCCATTTTTCATGGCATAGCAACAAACCTGGTCTCCTACTTCCAAAGAGGCTACTTTTCCAGAAGCCCCAAGCATATTAACTAATGTAATATGATCAGGCTTATTAGAAGAAAGAAGCATCATTTTAAATAATGAGAAGACTTCTCCAGACTCACTCTGTTGTAGAAAAGCGGTAAGAATGGCGTTCCACGAGACTAAATCTGCCTTGTTTTGTATCTCATTGAATATTTTATATGCATCCGGAAGATCTGAACAGTTGGCATACGTTGAAAGTAATGTATTAGAGACGGAAATCTCTAAATCAAAGCCACTCTTGATAACATAGCAGTGCACTTGCTTTCCTAGAAACAGAGCAGATGGACTTACAAAGGCACAAAGTAAAGAACGAACTGTGACATCATCTGGGGTCAACCTCAAAGTTCTCATTTGAGAAAAGAGAGATATAGCTTCCTCGGGATCACCTCCGTATGCAAATCCCGCAATCAGAGCATTCCAGGATACAAGATCCGGGTTTCCTATTTGGTAGAATGCAGTTCTTGCAGAACGCAACCATCCACATCTGGCATACATGTCAGTAACAGCACAACCAACAAAAGCATCAAAACTGAGCCCAAATTTTATGCTTAAACCATGTATTTGTCTTCCATATTCTGCTTGTGCAAGACTTCTACAGGCACTAAAGACGCTTCCAAAAATGAATTCATTCAGTTTGTAGATTCCCCGACCAAGCATCTCCCTGAAGCAAGACAGAGCTTCTAATTCATAGCCAAGCTGTGAATATCCAGCAACCATTGAGCTCCATGAAATCAAATCCTTCGATTTAATACGCAAGAACACTGCCAATGCCTCATTAATTCGACTAAACTTTGTATACATCGCAATCAATGCATTCTGAGCAATAAGGTGGGAACCAGGTTCTGATTTAATGACATGCCCGTGCAACAGCTTCCCTAACTCCACCTGATTCATATACGAGCACGCTTTGATTACGCTCCCAAACGTAAACTGGTCCGGTATAAGACCACACTGTCGCATTCGAAAGTAAAGATCTACAGCTTCCTTCTCCTGACCGTTTTGCGAGTACCCAGCAATTATCGAAGTCCAAGAGACCAAATTTCGTTCAAGCATTTCATCGAACATCTTTCTAGCATCGCTCAATGACCCACATTTACCATACATATTCAATAAATGATTTTGAAAAATCATGTCTGGTTGATAATTGGATGATAATATATGATTATGAACTTTTCTTGCATACTGCAGGGATCTAAGAGACGAGCACGCGGATACTAGCTGAGCATACGTGCTTGGATACAAACTGAAAGATGTGTTCCTTTGTAACAACTCGAATGTCTCTAGAGCTCGTTTAAACAACTTTTGCTTACATAAGAAGATTATATGATCATTACTTGACTGTTCATTGTTGAAAGAAGTATGTATGCTGTGATTGACATAGCTCCGGATTGATCCTAACCTTTTCATCATTGTGAAATAATTTGAAGAAGCAATTGGACAATGATCAATCAGTCATTCAACTACACCTCAATCCCGACCTAGTTGCAATCCTCTGTATCCACTCCGCTTCATTCGCCACTTGATTCGAATATTTTCATTCTGCAAAAGCAAATAGAAAATGAAATATATGAACCTCACAAGACAATTTGCTTGTTTTAGAGTGAAAAGCACTTCTAACAAGAGCCAAAAAAAAAATTCTGCTATAAAATGTATCTTTCACGTAATGAAGAACAACTTCTGACCGCCGGAGAAGAGATTCGACGGAGAACCAGATACAGTTACTCCGACGTCGTTTAAATTGGCGGGCCAAATGTCGGGTTACTTGATCGGACGAAAATACCCCTGCGCTAGACTTATAATAAGTCCAACCTTCGTAAACGTGCTCAGCTATCTCCATAAACGCCCTACGCTCAGCTTTCTCCATGCCCTACGCTCCGCTTTCTCCTCCTATTTCACCATAAAATCGCAGAAGATTATCCGCAAAACAGTAAGTTCTAACTAATTTTTTAGCGTTTGGCTTAGTTGATTTAGAGCAGCTCATAGCTGTTTTAAAAATTAAGTAATTATGTGTTTGGATAAAAGTGCTGAAATTAATAATAAGCAATTGAAGAACTGGATATATGAAGAGTTTTATTTTTAAAAAGAAGTATTTTAGGGATAAAATAGTAAATATTTTGGTCAAATTTAAAGTGCTTATAAGCTGAAATTTGATAAGTTGGGAGACCAACTTATGGCTTTTGGCTTATAAGCACTTAACTTATAAGCACCTTTAATTTTACCAAACGCGTATATAAGTCAAAAAGTACTTATAATTCAGTTTGACCAGCTTATAAGCTTAGACAAACTCCCTCTTAATCAATTGTGTGCTCTCTTTTAAAAGGCAGAATTGGGACTCGTTCGGGCTTGCCCCATGGCGGAGCACTCGTACAATGCCCCTGGGCTTATGTGTGGGGTTTAGTTTCGCGAGACTTACGCCTCGGCCGTCGGGCTTACGCCTCGCAATGCCTAGTGTACAAGACTCGCCTAATAGAACTTTATGCAATTATACGTAACTAACCTTGTAAATCTTCAAATTTTTTTAATAAATCGTTGACTATTCAAAATTATTTTTTTTAATCATAAATCATTAAGTTGAGAGTATTTTATGTCATAATCAAAATAAAAATTATTACACGTTATCCACTAAGAATGTTGTGATAGTAAATTTTAAATAAATATTTTATTTAAAAAGTATTTATTTATTAACTTTTATTCTTTATTATATAATAGTCCATAATTATTTTATAATTATTTTTTAAAATATTATTTTTTTATATTTACGAGATACAATACTTACTAATTTAATAGCTCAGTATTAGCTAGTAACTATTTAAAAATAATTAATTATCATGTTATTATTATGTGTCACTTTATTAAGTTGCTGAAACTTGAAAATAAATGATGCTAGAGAATCATATTTAAATTGTGAATTATGTTATTATATAAATTCTCTTTTAAATAAAAAGCATATTAAATAAAAGGAGTATTTTTTTAAAAAAATATATCAAATTATAATATCGAAATACTTTCAAGATTCAATATTCCTTAAGAGATACGTATAAGATTTCATATCGAATACATTACTTTTGATGTTTGAGTTATAACGACGTTGCAGCTAATTTGCATATTATGATATATGTCATACTTTTCATATTATTCATAGTTGAATTATAATTCATAAATATTTTAAATAGATTATTTGCTATAATTTATGATTTTAATGTAATTTTATATTTATTTTTTATTTTGTTCTATCTTAAAATCCTTAAAATTTATAAAATTTGAAGATCTGTGGGACTTACGCCCCATGTCTCAAGTTTTACGCCTTGCCTCGTCAGAGGTAAAACGCCTCGCCTCACGCCCCCGCCTTTTAAAACATTGATTGTGTGCATGTAATCACGAACTACGGAAAACTTCCACATATCTCTGTGTTTTTGTGTGTTTGGGTAAATTTCTCCTTGACAATATATATTCGATTTTTTGTGTAATAATATGTATTCAAAATTTATTTTTGGTATTAGTATTTGTTAATTTGATTATAGAACAAACTTAAAATTTTATTATGTAATATTAAGTTCAAAGTGTCAAGAACAGAGAAAGCATGAGAGAAACTGAAGAATGACTATCCCAATTACTTGATTCAAATACATCAGATACATTGGTATTTATACACAAGAGAAACAAGAGATGGAAGGAAGTAAAATATCCTACACTAAATGTAAATCCTGCAAAATATTCTTCATATATTCTATAACTAATGCTACACAACATTCTACACTAAATGTAGAATATTCCTAATAATATCCCATATATTCACCATATCGAGAATATATTAATGTAGATATTCTACAATATGATATTCTACAATCTGTTCATTATGCTAACATCCCCCCTCAAATTGATGCTGGTGGATCAAAAAGCATCATTTTGCCTACTAGAAACTGATGATGTTGTCGTGCCATTAATTTTGTAAACACATCAGCTATTTGAAGATCACTGGATACATATGGAAAAGTAATGACTCTTCTATCTACAACTTCTCTTATAGAATGACAGTCCACTTCAATATGCTTGGTTCTTTCGTGATAAACTGGATTGGTTGCAATCTGAATGGCACTTGTGTTATTAGCATGGAGAGGAGTAGGACTAGATTGAGGAAATCCAATTTCTGCAAGTATACCACGAAGCCAAATAATTTCGGAGCAAGCAGTCGACATTGCTCGATATTCAGACTCCGTTGAAGATTTTGAAACACGATCTTGCTTCTTGCTCTTCCAAGATATCAAAGAATCTCCGAGAAACATGCACCATTCCGTGACGGAGCGGCAAGTATCAGGACATCCAGCCCAATCAGAATCACTAAATGCATTAAGCTGAATATGAGAACCACTAGGAAAGAATAATCCACGAGTTGATGTTCCTGAGAGATATCGAATGATGCGACGAACTGCCACCAAATGTAGATGACGGGGAGTCTGCATAAATTGACTGACTTGTTGAACTACAAAAGAGATATCAGGCCGAGTAATAGTAAGATAATTTAGGCTCCCAACTAGTTGTCGAAATAAAGTTGGATCAGGAAGAAGATCCCCTTCATCGCGATGATACTTTACATTCAATTCCAATGGAGTATCAACAGAGGAAGATTCTTGAAGACCAGACAAAGCAATCAAATCCTGAGTATATTTGTGCTGGTTTAAGAACACACCTAAAGAATTATAATGAACTTCCAACCCCAAGAAATATGTTAGAGTACCAAGATCTTTCATGTGAAAAGAATCCTTAAGCTTCTGTTGGAGGCTAGCGATTAATAAAGAATCAGTTCCTGTTATAATGATGCCATCCACATATACCAGAAAAAGAACACAACTTGTAGACGTTTTCCGAAGAAACAAAGATGAGTCATATTCACTTTGTTCAAAAGAGAAGTGAAGCAAAGTAGATTGAAACTTGTCAAACCAAGCTCTGGGAGCTTGTTTTAATCCATACAAAGACCGCTTCAACTTGCAAACATTTGATGTAGGTGATGAAAACAAACCATGTGGAGGTTTCATATAAATATCTTCTTTCAGATCACCATGAAAAGCCTTTTTTACATCCATTTGATGAAGAGGCCAATTCTGTGAGGCAGCAATGGCAATAATAGTTCGCACCGTAGTCATTTTTGCTATTGGTGCAAAAGTCTCCTCATAATCCACACCATACTCCTGTTTGTTACCAAGAACAACCAAGTGAGCTTTGTACCGATCTAGAGTTCCATCAGAATGAAGTTTAATTGAATAAATCCATTTACATCCAATTGGATGGACATTTGAAGGACATGAAACAATGTCCCATATGTTATTTTCTTTAAGAGCCAAAAGTTCTTCCTCCATTGCTTTCTGCCAACATTCATGCTTGAAAGCTTGTGAGTAACAAGTTGGAACAGAAATAGTGGATAAAGTAGAGGAAAAACCATACCAATTAGGAGTATTTCGTTCTATGGTAGATCACCGAGTAGGCTCAAAAGGAGCAGGCCTTGAAGATATCTCATATTCTGATTGTGGAGCAGTCTCAGGTGGCGGATCAGTTTTGCAATGGGGTAAAGTTGGGCGACGTTGTTCATACACATATCCGGGTTTGAACCGCTTAGAAGAAAATGACAAATCCTCAAAAGTAGGAAGAAGAGGAGAAACATAAGATGACTCAACATGAGTAGGAAAGAAATATTGATTCTCAAAGAAAACAACATTTCTGGAGATACGAAATTTGTCGGAACTTGGATCATTGCAAATAAACCCTTTCTGCGAAGTGCTATAACCCATAAAAGCACATTTAGTAGACTGAGCAGAAAGTTTATTGCGTTGAAAAGGAGGCAAATGCACAAAACAAACACAACCAATTGTATGAAAATTATGATAGTTAGGATTATGGTGATAAAGACGATAATATGGAGACTCAAGATTTAACACTTTAAATGGTAGTTTATTAATCAAATATACAGTAGTAGACAAAGCTCCCACTCAGTATTTAGATGGGACAGAGGACTCAATCAATAAAGTACGAGTTACATCTAAAAGATGACGATTTTACACTCAGCAACCCCATTTTGTTGTGGTGTATATGGACAAGAGCGTTGTGAGATGATTCCTTTCTCAAGCAAAAAATTATTGTATTCATGAGACATATATTCTCCACCAGAATCAGATCTTAATATTTTGATGCATGTAAAAAATTGAGTCTCGATGTAAGCCAAAAATGTCTTGAATATGGAAAATACCTCATATTTGGAACGAAGAAAATACACCCATGTAAACCGACTATAATCATCTATGAATGTCACAAATTACTTAAAATGAGCATGAGAAATAATTGGTGAAATGCCCCAAACATTACTGTGAATGACATCAAAATACTTTTTAGCACGACTACCAAAATTAGGAAAAGGAAGAGTTTTACTTTTTCCTAATTTACAAGTAGATCAATCAAATGAAGCAGCTAAAAACTAATTTTTATTTCCCAATAAACCAGAATTTGATAAATGAGACAACACTATAGAATTTGGATGTCCTAGAGGCTTATGCCAAACCTCCATTTCACTAGCTGTAGAAGTACAAGCAAAAGACAGAACACGAGGAATGGAAAAATGTATAGGAAACAATCTTCCAAATTTAGGCCCCTTTGCGATTATCGTCCCCGACACCTGATCCTGCACAAGGCAACCATTACGAGAAAAATTCACATCACAATTATTATCTACCAATTGGCCAACTGAAATAAGACTAGTTGAGAGCTTTGGTGATACAAAAATATTCTTGAAAGTTTGAGTAATATCCCCAACGTTGGTAATGGGTAAATTACTACCATTCGCAATCTGAATTTGTGATGGACCATGATAGTCACGTACATTTTTTAGCATGCTAGTTGAGTTTGTCATATGATTGGAAGTGCCAGAATCAACAAGCCAAAAATTAGATGTAATATCGTTATCTTGTATCCCCAAA